CCGAACCACATCCGCAACAACCAATCACACAGTCACAGCCATCAGTATCGTCTTCATCGTCATCGTCATCATCCCCGTCTACGGTACATAGCAACATTCCGCGCAGCACCATTGTTCGTCTTACATCGGCGAATGGCACGAAAAGTGGCGGTATTAGTTTGGCGCGCGTCATACAAATGCAGAATAGCGGTAGTGGGAGTGTGGCAGCAGCAATGTTGAATGAGACGTCTACGTCTAAGCAACAACAGCAACAAATACAACAACATGTGATGAATATGGCGGTGACAGCAGCGCAGATCGCACAGCGTGGCACCCAGCTGCAGAATCCACAAGTGACCGCATGTGAGTAGAGTTACCATCCATGAAGATAAAAATGCTTAAAAATTAAGTTATAGCTACGGTGACCAGATTTCTGTGGGCAAAAATCGGGACATTTGTAATGCATCGAATCCGAACACAAGATTTGAAAAATTATAGCAAAAACGTATAAGTTGTGGCTATTTTTCTTTATTAAAAAACAAATATTTTTTTTTTTTATGAAAATATAGCTCATTATCTGAAAAAAAAACTAATTAAATCAAAATTTCAAAACTTTGAAGTTTAACAAATGCTGATAAAATTTATAAACATTTTAAACAGATTTTTTAGAATTGTTTTGAGTATGCCCATTCAATTCATAGTGCAAGTTTGAAGTAGCTTGGACTCACTGTTGATCATTGGCAATTTAAATTAGCAACACCGTCCACTAAAAAAACTATCAAAAATCAACGGTAAGTCCAAGCTTCTTAAAATTTGCACTTTGAATTGAATGGTCTGCAAAGTTGCATACTAATAATGTTTTTAAGAAATCTAGTTAAAAAGCTCAAAATTTTGATGAGACTTTGTCGAACTTAGCTAATTTTTGTACAACGTTTGAAACTTGACTTGCACGGTCTTTGTTAAATAACCAGCTACACTTTCTTAAAAAAAAAGGAAACATTAAATAATCGAAAGGCTAATAGCCAAAGAATGTTAAAATGTCTCTTCTCTATTTATATGTTTGCTAATGTATTAACAGCTTATATTTTTCATATCCATGAATTTTTTGGGGGAATTAGTATTTGACTTAACTCAAACTAGAATCGTTTCATGAAAAAAAACTTATCAAAAAACAGAATAAAACATAACCAAGGATCAACGAATGTGCTGCCACGTTTGTAAAAAAAAATTTTTTGGGTCAGAGTATCGAGAGACTCTTTTTAAAATAATAAAGAAAATACTGAAAATCGGAGCATAATCAGTACAAATATGAAAAATCAGGACACTTATACGTCCCGACTTTTAAAAAATATTCAGTAGGACAATTTTCTCGAAATCGGTACTTTCCCGCCAAAATCGGTACGAATGGTCACCGTAGTTATAGCAGATATAATAAATTTACCGAAGTGAGAGAAAAGAGTAGTGGATGAAATGTTGTTTTTTTCCTTCTTTAAATAGAGACTTATTTTGTAACGTATCTATTTTTAACCGACTTCAAAAAGAGAAGGAGTTCAAGGTGGTATAATAATTTGGTTGAGATCTGATCATTAGATCATTAAAAAATTAACGGTACTCTTAAATTTTTATATGAGAATTGATGTCGGTTTTGCTTTTTTTTTTTTGCTTACAAATTACTTGTATCTTTTCGGTTGATGTATTTAAAATTTGATTTTGTTTATGAGCATCTAATTTTAGTTTGTAATTCGATATTAAATTTTTTATTTTTTTTTTATACATTTACGTAGCATAAAGAAAAAGCGAGGTGCCACTCAGCCATTTTTATTATTAATCTTTTTGCTCGCCCTGAGTGTGAAATGGACCAGAGTTTTAGTGCAAATCTAAATTTAACCTCTCGTTTGATAACCATATTAGACAAAATACGTTGCTGGTTATCCGGGTGGCAGATGGATAGATTTTTTAGTAAATTTAATAAGGAACATAACCTGAATTGGGTTTCATTCAAGCGCGGCCTCATTTTGTTTCTTCTAAAAAATGTTGCCCTTTAAGGGGCAATTAATTAAAAGGTGATATTTTTTGGTAGAAACGAAAACACCATAAATATTTAAACCGCTGAATTTTACTTTCCAGTTAATTAAATTAAAAATTTCCTATTATCTTATCGCTAGAATGAATACACAAATCTATGCTAAATTTTTTCTACAATTCTCTACCAATACAGTGACTACTAAAAACCACCAGCGACTACATGATCACAGTCCAGATGCCAAGCGCCGGATACACAAGTGCCAATTTTTGGGTTGCAAAAAAGTTTATACCAAAAGCTCACATCTAAAAGCGCATCAGAGAACGCATACCGGTAAGTGAAATGGATTGTAAATATGTGTTGTATGTGAAAAGATACATTCATACAAACTAATAATTATTTGCTATAGATTGTTATTATTGCTAATTGTTTTACATGTTTATACATGTATGTAGTTCTTACCATAACTATAAAAAAATAAAAACATATATACTATACATGCAATATATGTAACTCACTCTATAACATAAAAAACACCATATAAGTAAATCCAATTTTCAAACTTTGTACAGGAATTTAAAAAAGCAACAAATTTTCTCCAAAATTTTACATTTCTTGTTCAAAATTTTCAGATTTTTCAGATTTAGTAAAAAGCCGAAAATCCGCTTTTTTAGAATTTTGATTGGCAATAGCAAAAATATGGTTCATTATGCTCTAAAAAATATCTGTGTGAAATGTGAAAGTTTTTGGTCAATATCCTAGGCTCGCCAAAGTCCATCAAACGTAAAACCGTAGACCGTGTCAGCTGACATGACCTGTCTTATGGGATTCCGTGATCTCAAAATCAAATCTTCATTCTGGGTACGCCTCTTACAAAAAAAATCAAGCTACTAATGAAGAAAATCATTGGATAAATAAAAACGAATGAGTGGTAAAATTAAAATAAGCAAGGAAATTTTCTATTAAAGTGAGCAGGGAGAAGTGTATGTACATGGCGTATGAGTAATATTCGTTCCTACTCCCATTTCACACATACAAAAAATATTTGCTCATTTCATTTGACCACTCATACACTTTTTATTTATCTTTCTATTTTCTTTATCAGTAGCTCGATGTTTTGTAACAGAACAGGCTTTGTCACAAATTAAAAACATTTACACAGAATCTTATATTTTTTAATATTTTCCCTGTAGAAATTTTGAATTTGTTTAATTTTTCATAAAAACAAAAATTTGGAGTTAATTAATAATTAATTTCTAAGAAAACATCAGGCTTATCTAAAAGTGATAAGTATACAGTTTATGAAGAATTTTGTCCGCTTTCATTCAATGAAAATCCTCTGAGTGTATTTCTGCAATGAAAAACAGCTTCTCTTAAAAATACAATCGCCGTTCGAAGTGGCCCAGAACTTTTTACGAAGGTTTATTGAATTTTTTTGTTTAATATTTCACAGAGTTCTGAAGCACTTTAAGCTCAGAAATTACTGCTTTTTTTGTGAATGTCATACATCATACTAACTAACCAACACAAGACCAATAGATACACAAACACAATAAAATTCACCGCAACAATAAAAATTATTAGATCAAGTCACCCTCATCAATTCAAAGATGATGCGTTATGACATACATACATACTTACAAGCAAACATATGTACATACACAGTCTTTCGCCAGTGCCATCTTTCGAAGAGTGATTAAGGACCCTGTCATCAGAGAGGCTGAGCAACAGGCAGATGCTTAGCTTGAATTTTGAAGTAAACCTATAAATATATTTAACCTAGTAATATATCAAACAATAAAAAAACATACTCACAAATCCTATGGCCATGCTGAAATTGTGGATACCTACTAACAACAATTTCACACACTCAACGCAGTAAACGGTGGTAGCAACATTCGCATAAAGGATAACGGATAACGTAACCATGGGAATGAATGTCAAAATGTGTGAATTGCGACACTTGCACACAAAATTGTGTACGTACATACATGTGTATCTCTGTATATCTATGTATTTTTGCAACATAAAATATGACTCTTTTCAACACAAAAATCAGTCATTTCATCAAAATTATGGTGAGAAATTGCCGGGTCGTAAGAATTGATGGGTTTAGTGCAAAACTGCCTTTGTACGAGTATGTATGTACATATGAATACACATCCCAAACTATACCTATCTACATATTCCCACACATGTGCACTTGCACATATGAAATATTGGAGGTTTGTGCTTTCGTGCAGAAATTTTGAATGTTTTGCTGTCAAGTGAGCTTGATGATAAATTTTTCAACAGTTTTCACTTGCACAATATGATGCTTTTAGGCCGAAGTGCTTGGAAGAGTGAACAAAACAATAACTCAATGTATCGTAAAATGTGGATAACAAAAGCATTTATGTGAAATATTTGGACATACACTGAATACTGCTCTCAGCTGGAAATGGACTTTAAAAAAAGTCAATTTCGATTATTTGTAGTGGCAAGCACCAAAAATTGATATTTTTTTGTTGAATTTCTACACAAGTGCATGCATTTGGCAATAGTTTCGTATACTGAAAGCTCTTTGTTGCTTGTGAAAGGATGCTAAAACTCGAAATTTTTACTTAAGCTTCTAAATGCGCTCAACAAAAATTGCTGGCACTCAAATTTTAGCGCTATATACTCTGTAAAGCGTTAATTGAAGCATTGCACATAAAAAGTTACCAAAAAGTTGCCGTTTTTTTTTCAAATACAAAAATTTATTTTACAAATACTTAAACAAGTCCTCCGTTGGGTCATAGTTTATGCGCCAATGCTAGATTTTCCAGGAGAAGGCACGTTGCTATTTAACCAAACATCAGTAGATTCAATATTTTTTTTTTTTAATGTGTGGTCTTGATCATAGTGATGCGTTGGGTAATCTCAACATACGTAGTCTTACAGCTTAAAACTCAATGATCCGTAACCGTTTGAGATTTGATTTATTTCTGCTGATATAGAAGTGCGCACTAACATTCCGCAGGGCCTGGGATCGAGCCAAGCTTCCAATTAACTTCAAAAAAAGGAAAAGAAATAGTTGTTTCTAATAGCGGTCGCCCCTCGGCAGACAATGGGAAACTTCCCAGGGTATTCGTGCTATAAAAAAAGCGTAAAATTGTTGTTCCCTTCCCTTTTTGTGACAACATCAATGCGTACGCCAGAAACTGCCACTCTCTTATTATTACTATAAAGGTTTCCCCAATTTTTTCCCTTATATTATGAACCTAACACCCATTATGGAGTCTACTGTCTACTTTTAGACTTCACATTTCCACCTTTCTAAACACACGATGCAACAGTCCTCTGCCCTCCAAACAAACCCATAATTTGCTTCTATTATTATTATTTATTATTTTATTTATTATTATTTTTTTGGAAGAACAAGGGGTTTAAGCTCAAGGCTGATAGAGTGGCTCTACCATATGATCGTCCGTCCGATTGTGTCTTCTGCATGCATAGCATGGCGGTGGAAGACACTTCAAAAAAACTGTCATAATTCACCTTAACCAACTGCAAAGATTTGCATGCCTATCCATTACTGGATCTATAAGAATGTGCTCAACTGCGCCTCTAGAGTCACTTCTCGGATGAACTTCTCTCCATATTTCTATCCAGTAAATGCCAGCCACGAGCGAGCTGTAACTTTGACTATCTAACGACGGCTTCATCACAGGCTCCATTCAGGTATTCTTGTGAAGATGCCAGGGTGGGAAATATGCGGAATCTCTGATTCCATGACTAAAGTGGTCTGCTTTGTCAGAAAGTTCTAAGCGATAATCTCCGATCGCGAAGGTTAGGCAAATGGGCTTCCTGAAATTGATCCCAGTTACGTACACTAGGTCAGCGATAATTTAGGGATGGAGGACAGAGCAAGTGCTGGTATTTTTGGACCTAGAAGCTAACTTGAAATTCGCATGGACAAATGGATCATGGCTTTTTAGGCTGAAGTAGTCGCAATTTTTTGCTGCGCAAAATTAAACCTTCAAAAGGGTTTGAAGGGCGCCTTTCTGGTAATCTTTTCAGATAGCCAAACAGCCATCTGGGCCCCCCCTGGTTAGAGACTGCATTGACATGCTACAAATTTTGGCATCCAGGCTATTGTGAAATCGAAGGCAATGAGGCCGCCGGCGAATTGACATTAGAAGACCATTCTGTGGTATCAGCTCATCCTCTTCAATAGTCATAATTACTGAGTGGGTACACTCTGAACGCATTAAGTGCTGGGCAGCTTTTCAACATAAAAGATTTTATTTCAGAAAATACAAATGGCATCCGGCTACTTTCTGGGTACCTGACTGGTCACAACGAATTGAGATTCCACTTTGCACCGAATAGGTGTGATCACAGAGTGGGAATGCCGGCCTTCTTTGAAGATGATGAAACTTCATAGCATATTCTCTGTCACTGACTGGCTTTGGCCAGACAAGGATTGCTCGATTTTAAGCCTTCAAAAGTCGGTGGTATTGTAAAGAATTCGCCTATTAATGCCCGTTTAGGATTCATTAGGGAAGCCGAAGGTATCTTGACCACATTAGGTTGGGGATTATCTCTTTAAGATTCACAAAAGATATTTTAGGTCGCGGTGTCTTTTGTTATGTTACACCCAAGAATTAACTAACTACTAACTATGTTACAAATTTCTTTCACCTCCTCTATCGTTATTGTGGTCTCCTGAAAGTTTTTCTAACTCCATATACTAAACCTTTCTGAATGAAATTAATTTGTATACACAATTGCACTGTGTGTATTTATTTTATAGCATAATCACGTAGAATAAATCGCTATGCTTATAAAATTGTGTTTAATAAACTTCCTCCGGCAATAACAAATGTTTAGTTGCATGACAATCCACCTTCTTCTACTTCTATAATCCTTTAATACCCTAAATAAATAAAGCAAATTGCTGTAAATAATAAGAAAGCCAATAATAGTGTAAACTAACTTTTCGTTCAACAAAACAAAAATTTTGTTAGGTAAACAAAAATGCTTTAGTTTTTTGGAGCTGGTAGAATTATAAATATTGTAAATAAATTAACAAAATTAATACATATGGGTTTATTCAGGACCTTGAAACAGGCTTAATAGAGCTTTAGAAATATTCAGCTTATAGTTGTATATATTTTGTTGTAAGCCTGCTTACATTTAACAAAGAATTTAAAAGTCTGTATGCCGAATCGACAATTAAACTAAGGAAGACGTGTAGCCTTGATAATAATCCAGTTCAAAAGGGCTGAATAAATTTAACGAAGCAAAAACTTAGATTTCTCACACGAAGAGTATCATTTAACGAGTAAGCATCCCATATTTACCGCTAC